ATCAGCGCTAGTGGGCTGCCGAGGTGAAATTATATTATGTCGACACTAGTGGGCGACCGAGGTGAGATTCTATTATTCCGACACTAGTGAGAAATTGAGGTGGGATTCTAGTATACCAGTGCCAGTGGGCAGTCGAGGTGGGATTCTGTTATACTTGTGAGATTCTATTACCTAAGTGTTATTATGCCATAGGAAATGGGCTACCGTGGTGGGATTTTGTTATGAAGTGTTTGCTTATAATTCAATTCATTTCAATATATTTAATTGTATTTAATTTAAGTATATGATATAGCACCGTGATCTCAATTCTTTTGATTTTGATTATTGATCTTTGTTTTAGGCTAAAATAGCCTACTAAGCCATGCTAACTTAATCCTTCTTTTTCTTTTATTTTCAGGCACAGGGAAGGGTAAAGGCGAGCTTAGTAGTTGGGATAGCAAGCTCTGATATGTGTTGTAGGTATGTTTTGTTGTTCTGATTTTTGCAATCTTAGTTTTTTATGTTTTATTGTGCTCACTATTTTCAATCACTGTTGTAGATAGATTTCAGATTATATATATTTTGGATTATATAAGAAAATGTTGAGATTCAGTAGTCTTGTACCTTATATTGCAATCAATAGTGTCTCTATGTAGTATATAATTAAAAGTTTTGTTTCAAAACTTCTCCAACAGGATCTTGTAGTCAGTCTTGCCACAATCAAATATGGTATGACCTGTGTGTTATCGAATCATATTGGGTCGGGTTGTGACACTAAGAGGATTATTTAGGTATTAAAAGGTCTTATGAGATTATGTGTTCTGTATTTTGGTGGTAACTGATCAATTTTTTTCACAATAATAGTTTTCAATCAAGTATAAGTATGACCCTTATGAAGCTCTATATGATAAGAAGTGTAAAATCTTGTTGTCATGGACTAAGGTGGGAGAGAGGAGTCTGATTATCCAGCCTTAGTTGGTGACACTACAGAAAAGACTCGTCTGATCAGAGCTAGAATGAAAATGATGTAGGATAAGTAAAAATAATATATATAATGATAATATTGTATAGAGATAAAAGAATTACCTCAAATCTATGGAGAGGCATTCAACAAAATTTAGGCACTAAATTGTATTTCAATACGTCTTTTGATCCCCAGACTAATATGAAGTTTGAGAGGAATTTTTAAGTATTAGAATATCTTATGATATTATGTGTTCTGTATTTTAGTGGTAGCTGATGAAATTTTGTTTATAATGATTATTTTCAATCAAGTAAAGGTATGACCCCTTATGAAGCTCTGTATGATAGGAAGTGTAAAACCCTGTTGTATTAGACTAAGGTGGGAAAGGGGAGTCTAATTATCAAGAATTAGTTGGTAGTGACAATACTGAAAAGACTCGTCTGATAAGAGATAGGTTGAAAGTTACGTAGGATAGGTAAAAATACTATTATGATGCAAAGCACTAAAGCGTGAAATTCCATGTAGGAGATTTTGTATATATGAAGATTAGATTGATAAAGGGCATTAACAGAATTGGAAAGGAAGAAAATATGAGTTTAAGGCATGAATGAAAAATCTAAAAATTTTCACATAGAAGTATTATGGTGCTATGTCATTGTACTCTCCATAGGAGACAATGCGACACTATAAGGTCAAGCATCGTGATGCCAAATCATTATTTTTAAAAATATCAAAATCCACTTCATTTTGATTTAAATAAAATTAAACCCACCCCCATTATCTTATGCAGCTAGCTAGAAAGAGAGAGAGAAAGAGGAGGATCCTAGAGGGATAGAACTAGGTTTTTGGTGAATCTAGTTCATTTTCTACTATCGTCCTAGTTTTAAAAGTTAGTCAAATCGAGGTAGGATATATTCTAATTCTCTTAGTTTTCAAAATATTAAAATTTATAATTTTTTTATTTAAATTATAATTTTACATCATAAAAATAAGAATAACTTTGAACATGCTAAATTTTCACCATGTAACTTTTTGTTTGTTGTAGATATTTGTATTCCCAACATTTAAGCATTTAAAAAATCCATTAGGCAAATTAAAAAATGAGTTATTTTTATCTAATTAGAATATAATTTTTTATCCCAAAAATTTAGGTTGTAGTACAATTAATGCTTTAAATAGTATTTTGAACAATCCCTAGTAAACTAGTGAAACTCTAAAACTATGAAATTTTGCTTAGTACATGAATATATTTCTTACTAGTAAAACATTATGTGAATTTATGTAATTGATTTATTTATATTTAATTTATTGCAATAAAATTTTATATATGCTTATCATTTTCAAATGTGTGCTTCTGTGGAGCTCTGATGTTGGAGAAAGTTATGCTATGTTGAATGAGTCATAAGGGTCTAAATTTTAGAATATCTGATATGCACTAAGCATTTGGGAGTCATAAGGGTCTATTTTTAGATATACAAGAACAAGGATGAATTAGGGCTTTAATTTTGATATTTCTTACTAATATGAGGTCTAAAGGCCTAAGGTATATTCATTACTAAAACCTTTAAACTCTTAGGCTGACCTTCATAATTCAAGCTTTCCTTTTACTTTCCCCTAGTCTTACAAATAAGAAGAATATCATCAGAAAATCATACACCGTTGTATATCCTCTTGTAAATGTCTAGTAAGAACATCCATGACTAAATTAAAAGATTTGGCCTTAAAGCTAATCATTCATATAATCCAACTAAAATAGAAAAATACTTGGTCGAACCATTATGTGCTTTAAACACAAGTAATAACTCCTGCATACATAACCTTAATAACTTGAATTTAATAATTACTAACTCCTTTGCTATCTTGAACTCTCTAGAGAACTTCTCTTGAAACATAATCATATGCTTTCTCTGACAATAAATATCATTTGTAGTTCCTTCTTACTCTCTTTATACTTCTCTTTCAAACCTCTCATTAAATTTATAGCATCCAAAGTAGACCTACTCGACACGAATCCAAATTTATTTTGATAAATATTAGTATCACATAGTAACATATGCTTAATTACACTCTCCCATAATTTTAATGTATGACACTTTAACTTAATTTCTATATAATTTGCGTACTCTTTGCACCACCTTTACTCTTAAAAATATAAATCAACACACTCTTCTACTCATATCTTATTTTTTTAATCTTCAAAATAATATTAAAATTTTTGGTAAACTAAGAAATTAATTTATCTCTTAAGCATTTCTACACCTCTATTGGAATATCATCAGGTTCAACTACTTTTTCACACTTTATTTCCATAAAGCTTCTTTAACTAGAATTTTACTAATACATCAATAAAAATAAAAATCCCTATTGACATTTAAAGTGTTAAGGCCACTACTAATCTCACATTCTTCATTTAAAAATCTTATCAAAATATCTTATCAACTTATATCAATGTCCTCTTCTAATAAAAATACTTTTTAATCTTCATCTTTAATGTACTTCACTTGAAAAGGATCTTTCCTTCTCCTATCTCTTTGCTTAGCTAACTTATACGTACATCTTTTGCCTTCCTTATTTTCTGATATATTTTATAAATGTTTGAAAGCTTTTTCTTTTCATCAGATGTTTCTTTCTTAGACTCCTTACAGGCTCCTCTATTTATTTTATAATTTTCTTCATCTAAACTAATTTTTATAACAAAGCTTATTATTATTTTTCTTTTCTTGCACAATTTGATTCAATCACCAACTCTTTCTACTATTAGGAGTTTTTTTTTTCCTTTTAATACTACAACATATATTTTACAACATTATTAATATAAATAGCTACTTTTTTCACATAAAATTAGTTTTCTCATTCACAATCAAAATCTTAAAATTTTGAATCTTACTTGCTAAAATATTTTTCTTAGCATTTTTTAAATGCCCCCATCTAATTCTAGGATAGTAATTTACTTTATTTTTTTAAATTCCACTCCATCTTAAAGTCTCAAACTAATAAGTAATACTAAGTACATAAACTTTCATTCAGAATGACTTTAGAAATCTTTGCAATCTAACCGATCTTTTTTATATAAAATAATAATCATATTTACTTTTAATTTATCCATTCATATAAGTTATGAGATTCTCCTCTCTCTTCTTAAATAAGGTATTAGCAATTATAAAATCATAAAGTAGAGCTAAATATAATATAGTCTTATTATCTTCACTAGTCGCTCCAAACTCATAGCTACCATGCATGTTTTTAAAATCTTCTACTACTCTACCAGCATGTCTATTTGAATTTTCTTTAATAAGAACTCTTTCGTCAAGCGATTTTTTTCTTTTAGCACTAATTTTCATGATTGTTCGACAAGGTTAGCATTGGTTTTCAATTACCTAACATAACCCTCTGCTTTTCTCATCTAGTTCTTAGGACCTAGCAATGAAAATATTTTTCTTTTCAAAACCTAAATAATAAAATTTTAACTTGTTCATAAAAGATGAAACTTAAAGCACTTTAAATGTAATTTATTATTATTATTATTATTATTATTATTATTATTATTATTATTATTATTATTATTACTTTTGGACCAATTGGGAAATAAATTTGCATAGAAGTTTATCGATCTTTGATTATAGAGCTTGCTTTGATTTATGTCAAATAAGATCACACGAGAGAAATAATCTAATGCTTGATGAGATGCCATTTTATAATTCTTGGAAAGGTAATCAACTATATTATCTGTTTACTACCACTTTGACAAAATAGGTTCCACCATCACTAATTTGATATTGTCTCTCATGGAGCCGAAGGGATTGGTGTAATTATCTGTATCTTTATAAAAAAGCTCCATCACACATGCGAGGTTGAAGATAGGTCGTACCAAAAATAATGGTAAGTTGGTGAAAAGATACTCTTGATTAAGTGTTTTCCATGCATCCTCCACCATTACCTTTAGCTTGTTACATGCTTCTTCTCTAGTGCATTCATTATCCTTAGTATAGCTCTCAACTATGGAAGCAAAATGATTGCCTATTTCTTCATGCTGCAAAATTAGCATAAGACAAAAGTGTATAATTAATAGCTAAATAAATGCAACATATTAAATAAGCTTTTTTATAAATTTCACTAATTTTCTATATAAAAGATACCTCATCAGAAGTTATATCGTTCATGACTCTGCATATGAAGCAAGATGCTTTGACAATCTCTGGAAATTCAGTAACCCATTCAAATGCATTCGATGGAATCACTTCGTACATACCGACAAATGTCGCACAAAATAACATTGGATATGCGCAGCTCAAAAGAGAGATACGCAAGTGTTCTTGCATACTAGGAATATAATGTTGATTTCCCCATCGTGTTTCATCAAAATATGCATGTGCTAACTTTTTCATCTGATATATATATATATATATATATATATATATATATATATATATATAACACAAGGAATAAAATTTTGTCAAGAGATAAATAAAATAGTATTTTATTTTTTTTCTTGAGAAAAAGTTTTAATTTATTTCTATAATTACTTAATTAAAAAATATTTGTAGAAAATGTAATTAAAATAAAACTTTTTGTGACATTTCACTGTTTAGTTTCAATTTAGAGAAATTTTATAAATGATTATATGTAGTAATGGACGAATAAAATTAACAATAAATTTGTATTCATACTATAAGGTCATACCTCTTTTTTAAGGAATTGCATGCGAAATGAATTTTGCTCAAATGACAGCTCATCTTCCAAATCATTGAATGTTTTATAAAGGACAATGCAAAAATGTTGCAAGTATTTTGGTAATTGATCCACTCCTTCGAGTTCCCATCTATGTTAGCACATATAATTACATTTAACATGAATTACCTCATATGCATAGAATTTATTATTTATTATAAATTAAGAAAAAATTAATATTAAAATTTTTTATTATTACCTTTCAATTTTTTCAGTAAGCAATTCAAGCTCTTCAAGTGTTCCATATTGATCGTAGATATCATCAAGTATTGATGTCAGTATAAGTAATTTTGTAGTCATTATTCTTGCACGAGAATAACATGGTTCAAAGTATGCTCCTATCATCCAAAAATGTAACTCGACAAATCTATCTCGTGCAAATGGTAGGTTTTCTGAAAGGGCCATTGAATTCTTCCATCTATATAGTCATAAAAAATCACGATCAGTTGAGCTCACTATACACACACAAGAATAATGAATATGAATGAATTTAAAAGTAAACTAAACTTACAAGGTTATGTGTAGAAGTTCCTCCAAATGAATTGATTGTACTAAATGGTAGTCCAATTTTGCAAACTCTAGTAGAAGTTCACTTCTAGTTTTTTCTTCTGCATAAATTGATAGGTATTCTCTTGCTTCTAGCCTTTCAGTTCTTCTAAACCTTGGTGTTTCTAAGGATCTTGATGTTATAGTTGCAAAATTTGGATCCATAGTGCCTAACAACAATTTGAGATAAGTTCTTGTAAATTTTGCTGCATTTTCCAATATTTTCTCATTTGGTGTCCCAAGATGAGCAGCTTCGTAGAGGCTTAATAAGGCTTTTGCATCATGCTTCAAACTTTCCTTGAAATCTCCTTCTTTGTCCATAAATTTGTTGAATATGTCTGTTTTTCAAAAACATAAATGGATTGTGAATTTTCTAAGGGGGTGATTTGAATACAATTTTTTTCCTAAACATGCTTAATTTTGGATTTTCAATTTTTTATTTTTTATTTTTTTAAAACAATTCAAGCAATTTTAAAATAGTTTTAGAAATGAAAACAACTGACGCCCAACTCAGGTACCTAACTCGTAATTAATAAGACTATATATATATATATCAAAACATAAACAAAATAGAATAAAAATAAATAATTAAAAAAAATGATCAAAAAGTGATCTCAAACTGCCCAAAATATTTCTACACCTATATTCAGGTATTTCATCATTGTTTTTATGTCATTTATGATAAAAATTATGATAAAATGATAGTGAAAAATTAAGCTATTAGTAGTTACTTTTTTTAAAACATTATGATTTGATATCATACTTTACTTATAATTGTTTTAAATGTTTTCGTAAAAAAAATTTTTGACATAATTTTTTATCTTTAATCACTTTTTTCTTCCTTAAAATATGATTATTGCATGTACGCCTTTAATTTTTAGAATAAAATAAGTATTAAGTCATATTTTTATAAAAATTCGTGATCGAAACCATCACCTACATAATTCATTGTTATAACTCCTTAAAAGTTATTATGACTATAAGAATAAAATTACAGTTAACTGAGCTGCTTTTAGTGGAATATATTAAGGACTAGAAATTTCATCTTCTGAAAGTAAATACAAAATGTAGGCTGAAGGATAATTTAGTACCAGCTGAAATTGGAAATCGTTGCTGCCTCAGTAGTCGAAATCCCAGCGCTATAGTGTGTAGATCTTTACTCTCTTCGTAGCCATCTCTATGTATTTTCTTCAAAGCATCGTTGATCTCGAATTCAAAATGATAGGCCACTCCTAGATGCTGGATTGCATCAATCATTTCTAAAGATTGAAGCAGATCGCTTGCGTCTCTGAGCTGCTTCTTTATCACGTCCTTAAGCTCATCAATCCTTTTCTTTATCTTTTCCTTCAAAATATTCAATTTTGATTACATATTTTCTTAAATAGCATCTTTCAAAACATTCTTAGAAGTCGTTTTTATGAAACAAAAAGCCATTGATGAAAAGATTGAACTTCGTACCTCAATCTTTTTATTAAGTTTTCTAACAATATGTCAGCTCAAAATTTCGTGTTTTTTTCCAAGCCAATTAAATTTTGAAATAAATTTCAAGTTTAGACTACCAATCAAGAGATCTTGAGTTCAAAACTTGCATGTATTGTGTGTGTGATTTTATGTTAATTCACTCAAAAAGTCCCAAAAAAATTATATGACTTTATAAAATCGTACAATTCAATCTTTTTGTCAAAAGTACATGACAAAACTCTACTTGCTAGAATTTTTAGAACCTCACGTTAAAGATTACTGGAGATAACATTTAGGCTTTGTTTTGAAAAGCTTTTGATCATTATTTTTTTGCTGATTTCAATAAGTTTTTAAACAAAAAAATTATTTTAAAAAAAATAATAAAATTTCCCTTATATTTGAATTTGAATAAAGATATCCTACTGAAAAAACTTTCCTTAAATATACATATATTTGTTAAGAACTTAAAATGATCATGGTAAGCAGAAGTCATGCAATAAAACTCAAAAAATTAAAAACTCATGCTTACAATCTCAGAGGAAGGCATTGGCGTGTGGGTTATGAAGTAATCTCCCCAAACACTTGGGGAAAAAACTCCAGCAGGCTGGCGAACAGCATCTACAGGAGAATGAATGTTAGATGATTCAGCATATGTCATTGCTACTTTTTCTATATGGCACAGGGAAGAAAAAAAAAAAGTGAATTACTACGAAGCACTTTGAAAGGCTATGGAAATTAAGCTCCTGATTGTCTAGAGAATTTATAGCACTTTTGAACCAAGCACAAAGAGAACATGTGTCATTATTACTATTAATCAATGGGTTTTCTGTCAGTAATTTATAATTACGAAGTAGGAATCAATACATTTTTTTATGTGAATTTCTTGATTAAGAAATAATCATAATAATAATGACTTTTTAAAGTTATCGGATGAATAAGATCCAAAATATTTGGTTAGGAGATTCATCTAACCAAATATTTTTCTATTAGAAGTTATTTAGGTTACTGTAGACGCAACAACTACAACAAAATATACAATAATTTTATCTTTTAAAATAACAACACAACATAAAAAAAAGATAGAAGAATAAGCCTAGAAAGATTCAGCCTCCTCTCCCCTTCTTCTTTCTTTGTCTTCTCTGCGTTTACTATTTATTTCTATACTCAGCGCTGCATTAAAAATTTACATTTGATGGGCAGTTAAAAGTAAGAAGATAATTTGTTAAAACATGTTATGTAAATAGAGATTTGGCTAAACAAAATAATTGAAACTCTTTGACTTTAGTTCCGCTCTTCTTTGCAGATTTGTATATAAGTTGAGGTAGAAGGCTTCACCAAACATCAAAGTCAACGCAAATCCAATAGATTGCAAGTTTAAGGTTTCATTTGGGACAGCTTTCTAACTGCTTTATGAATCAGTTTCTTAGTAAAAAAAATTTTGAATTTCAAATTTTTATGCTAGAAAGTTACTTTATAAAGTAAAAAAAAAACTGTCCCAAACGAAGCCTAAGATTAGTATACTTGTCATTTAGTACAGATATACAATCACCTTGAATGTGAATTTAAAATAAAATTCACCAATTATATATCCATGCATACTGTTAACCTGAGAAGGCGGTGAAGCTAACAGTGAAATCAGGAAAGATACAACGGGTAAAAGGTAAACTCATTCTATGTTCATTGAAATCAAATACAACCAATAAGTGGCTATTTATAGCCTACAGAACAAAGGCCATAAGTCTAAAGAGGTTACACGTGTACCATGATTTACAAAAAGAGTTAAGATTGTCCTTTATTGAGTTTAGAATTATCTAGAGTATTAGTCTTCAATATCCCCCTGCAAGCTGATGAACCGGCATGAATAATCAGCTTGTTGACTAATAGTTTGAATCTTGATATTGGCAGAGGTTTAGTGAAAAGATCTGCTAGTTGATCTTTGGATGAGATATGATGTACTTGAATGCTTTGATTCTTGATACATTCTCGGATGAAGTGGCAATCAATCTCTATATGCTTTGTGCGAGCATGGTATACATGATTGTTTGTTAAGGCAATAGTTGAAGTATTTTCACAATAGAGAATGGTAGGTTCTTGTTGCGAGATATCAAGCTCTTGAAGGAGACGACATAGCCAGATGATTTCTGTAGTAGCAGTGGCTATGGCTTGATATTCGGCTTCAGTGGAAGATCCAGCTATAGTGGTTTGCTTCTTGACACTCCACAAGATGAGGGTATCACCTAAAAAATTACAATAGTCTATTGTAGATTTACGGTCTTGTTGATCTCCTGCCCAATCCGAGTTAGAATAAGATCATAAAGTCATAGAAGAACCATTAAGAGTTAAACCATAATGAGTGGTGCCTCGTATGTATCTTAAGATACGTTTGAGAGCTTCGTAGTTGCGTTCAGTTGGTTGGTGCATGTGTTGGCAAGCTTTGTTAAAATTGTATGTAATATCTGGACGTTTGAGAGTTAGATTTTGTAATGCGCCTACCAATTGTAGGTATAGTTTAGGATTTGAAAAGAATGGTTATTGAGGTACACTGTTGGCCTTGATTAAAATAGGTATAGCCACTGCTTTGCTATTTTTCATTCCCGTCCTGGCTAAGATATCTGCTGCATAATGGGATTGATGTAGAAGCAAGCCGATTGATGTGTTCGGCTGTTATGCTGAGAAATTGGGTTAAAGAACCCAGGTTCCTCATGTTGAATCGTTGATGTAGTTTGTTCATCAGTTGATTGATAGAAGAAACATTATTACTAGTTAGAATGATATCATCAGCATAAATTAAAACATAGAGAATAAAATGATTCTTTTTGTGTATAAGTAATGAGGGATCAGAATGACTAGTAGTGAACTCACATTGATGAAGAAAGCCTGTTAGAGTCTCGAACGATTGATGGGGGGCTTGCTTAAGCCCATACAGAGCTTTGTTCAATTTGCATACATGAGTAAGATGATTGACATCTAGAAATCCGAGTGGTTGCTTCATATAGACAGTTTCTGTTAAATGACCATACAGAAAGGCGTTCAATACATTTAATTGAAGTATTGGCCATTTGTGGTGAAGGGCGATGATGATGAGAACACGAAAAGTTGGTATTTTGGCCACAGGTCTAAATGTATCAGTATAGTCAAGGCCAAATTCTTGATTGTAGCCTAAGGCGACCAGGCGAGCCTTATACTAAGAGATCATGCCATTAGAGTTGAACTTAGTGCGATACATCCATTTGCATCCAAGGATGTGTTGATGAGGTTGCGAAGGGACCAATTCCCATGTGCCTTGGGATTGCAAAGCTTGAAACTCTTGAGACATAGCTATATACCAATGTTCAGATTTAATGGCTTGAGTATAAGAAGTAGGATCCGGCTCCACGAGTTGATGGGTGAGATCAAAAACATGTTTGGGTTTGAGATGGCTAGTTTGTAGATAAGTTTGCATGGTATGCTTAGACTTTATGTGTGGGTTAGGTGGCGGAGTAGGTAACCTAGGAGGGATATGGTATATGGTGTAATCGGAGAAGTGGAATGTTGCAACGGAACAGTTTTCTCATTAGTGATGTGGTTAGTAGGTGTAGGTATACTAGACACAGGGACAAGTAGCAACGGAGGGAGAGAGTTGCTGGAAGAATAAGATTTGTCTTTGGAATGCAATGTGGAATTGTGAAATAGAAAGGTATCCTCGGTGAAGATCACATGCCGAGATGTGAAGACACGATAGGTAACAAGATCAAGACACCGATATCCTTTTTGTTTCAACGCATAACTGATGAACACACATGGTATAGACAATGGAGATAGTTTAGATTTCGAATAAGGTCATAGCTAGGGATAACATAAAAAACCAAACGTCTTGAGATGAGTATAAGAGGGTGGTTTATTATATAGTTTTTCAAATGGAGTTTTGTGCTGAAGAGTGATGGTATGTATAGCAGTGTGTAAAGCCTCAACCCACAAAGTGGGAGGTTCATTAGAATGAATTAGTAAACTATGAATAGTTTCAAGTATGTGTCTATTTTTTCGTTCAGCTACTCCATTTTTGAGTTGGAGTGTAAGGGCAAGTGTATTGGTGTTGAATACCCATGTTTGTCAAAAACTTTGAAAGAGTTATTGAAATACTCACCCCCACCATCAATACAAATGGTTTTTAAGTTGGTGTTGAATTGGCATTTGACCATTTTTTAAAACAAGATAAACTTATGTGTAACTTCAGATTTTTGAATAAGACAAAAAATCCAGCAAAACTTAGTAAAATCCTCTATAATTTTAACAAAATAAAGATAGCCTTTAAAGAACTAGTGGAGGAAGGACCCCAAACGTCAGAATGTACTAATTCAAATGGACAAGTAGAAACAGAAACATAAGCAGGAAAAGATAACTGCCTGCTTTTTAGCCAGACGACAAGTATTGCAAGTTTTGTTAGAAAACTTACTACATATACTAGAAAAAAATAGATAAGTGTTGCAAGGTAGAGCTTGCTGGATGACCGAGTCTTAGGTGCCACAAATCCGGTATGGTTTGGACGGATAGTAAAGCAAGACCCGAAGAGGGACAGGTTGACCGAACCGAATAAAACCCTTTATGACAAGGTCCTTGAAGAAGTATTTGATTGGTCTTCATATCCTTTATTTGGTATCCACGAGAAGCAAAAGGCACAGTTCAGTTATTGTCACGAGTAAGTTGATAAATCGATAATAGATTAAATGAAATATTCGGTACATGATGAATATTGTTGAGGACAATATTACCTGAGGGTGTTGAGAGGATTTCATTACTTGTATGTTGGATAGGTAGCTGGTGTCCATTACCAAGAATGATCTAAAAAGTCCCTGTATATGGCTCTGTGGTGTTTAGATGGGTAGAATAAGCTGTTAAGTGGGTTGAAGCACCACTATCCAGATACCACTCCGACGAAAGAGTGGTTTCTGCTGAGCCGAACAAAGTAGATTGAGGTACATTTGCCATGTAGTTGAGATCGTTGCGATGCCAACAATGGAGAGTCGAGTGACTAGTTTTTAGACAAATTTGGATCGTTGTGATGCCAACAATGGAGAGCCGAGTGAACAGTTTTTAGACAAATTTGGCATACGACATTGCGATAAGGATTAGTATTCCCTCGACCAGCTGAGTTTCTTGATCCACGACCCCGACGGCCTCGATTGCCGCTGTATCTTCCTTGTCTGCATCCACGAAATGCCATTAACGCCATGGTAGAATCAGTCAGATGAGTATTTTGAAGATCTTTAGTTGCTTCTTAAAGTAGGTTATGTTCTTCTGTGCAGGCAAACTGTACAGGTCGTCAAAACCGATCGGTTGAAGATTTGTTTAGATTACAATCTTGAACGATTGATAGGTGGCAGGGAGTTCATTAAGAGTATAAAATATGACATCTTTGGGATCTATTCGACTTCCTGCCATTGCAATTACATCAACTTTTGCCTTTCTTTCCAATAGATAGGCGGTCATAGATTTATCTCCCTTGGTAAGATGATGAAGATCATTCTTCAGTTGGATAACACGAGAACTTTTTGTTGATTGGAGACGATGGCTAAGGTCGTCCGAATTTCGAACCAATGTGCTAGAGATAACACATACGACAAGATTGTATGAGAGATTACCGAACACAAGGCTGCAGCAAGATGTTGATCTGTGAGTAGCGAGCTGTCCAACGAGGATCCAGTGTTGAGCGAAATGGATTCGTCAATGGATGTGGAAACTGGGATCGTGCCATCAAAGAAGCCTTTTGCACTAAAGACCTTTTTCCACCTGAGATTTCCATATCATAAAGTTTTCCGCAGTTAGAGAAGAAGGGATTAAGTTCTTGATATTGCTTATCAAGAACTTAAGTTGAGGAGTAATGACTGGTTGATTTGGTGATGGAAGATGGGCCACCGTAGGGGAAGAAGAGGAGTGATCGGCCATGAGTAAAAAAATAGGAGGAACAAAGAGGGAAAGACAGGAGAAGAACCGCAAGACCGAAGCAGATGGAGGAGAGGAGAAAAAAAAATTTAAGTACACGAATTGTACCGCTCTGATACCATGTTAACGTGGGAAGGCGGTGAAGCTAACAAGGAAAGGCAAGATACAATGGGTAAAAGGTAAACTCATTCTATGTTCATTGAAATCAAATACAACCAATAAGTGGCTATTTATAGCCTACAGAATAAAGGCCACTAGTCTAAAGAGGTTACACATGTACCATGATTTATAAGAAGAGTAAAGACTGCCCTTTCTTGAGTTTCGAATTATCTAGAGTATTAGTCTTCAATACATACAAGCTCAGAGGAAAGAATTGACAAGCAGGTTATGAAGCAATCATCACAAACATTAGGGAGAAAAATTTCTGCATGTTGGCGAACAACATCAAGAGGAGAACTATGGTGATCAGATTATTCAACATTTATCATTGTTTTTTTTCCCTTACAGCACTAGGAAGAAATGAAGGAATAACTGTGACTTAATTTCTTCACTTGTTCCAAGTTCCAGGGCAGTGAAGCACATTTGACCCAAGGTTTTAATGGCATTTTTAAACTGTGAACTGCTAAATGTAAATTTAAGCGCTTTGAACACTGTAATGCACTGTACAAATCAGAAAGCACCATCTTTTAAACATTCTATCTCTTTCATATTCTTAGTGCCTGGCCAAACAATCTCACAATCTTAAAACTCTAATATAATAGTGCCTGGCCAAACAATCCCACATTCTTAAATTTTTCACAGATGTAGATTTTTTATAATCTTTAATTATGTTTATTTATAATATAATAGATCAAAGTCAGCACCTTGATTTTTATGTCGGTTTTTTATATGTGAAAAAACAATAAATGTCATCATGCTTTCATTTACAACAAAATTGAGTTTGTAAATATTGAGCCACCATTTAAATATATAAGTGAGGAAAAAAACAATCAAAACAATACCTATTAAGTTAAAAAATAGAAAATTAATCCGATTAGATAATATAAAAAAATTGCCATTAAGTATTTCTGATGTCATATTTGGCTCTTTGCTTTTATAATTTGTAAAGCTGATTATGAACTTGATGTGATTCAGAAAGATAAAATAGATTGAGAAAGATGCTCATGTTTCTCCAGATACTGATTATAAGAATGAGCTCTGAGAAGTGTTTGGTACCATACAACATAGTACAGAACTTGGTAAAAACTTTATATCATCACACTTTAATGCAAATGTGCATCATAATGATTTTAATTAGAGGTTGTTTGATTTGCTGTAAAAGGAATGCAAAATATTCTAAATTTTGAGAAACTAGATTTTGTGTGTTTAGTTTGCTGAAAAAAGAATGCACTGAAAATTTTATGGGCTATTTGGTTTGAAGTAAACTATGTTCGGGAAGGTAAAACATGCAGCAAACACAACAAGAAAAATGCATAAGGAAAATACATGGGATTTAACATGGAAAAATCTAAAATCGCGAAAAAAACCATGGAGCCGCATACACCAAGAAATTCACTATGAAAACAAAAGGATTCTCTTCTCTTCCAAGATTCAACAACTTTTTAGTGCCTCAATTCTTGTACCAAATCATTTTAAAATTAATAGAGCCTACATGTCTTATTGTGATATTTTCTTTTCTAGTCGTAATAGTTGTAAGCTTCCTAAGTGCATTGTGTGGCAAAGACTTGATTTAAGGGAGGTAAAAATTAACATTCATGCTCTGAAGTTGAAGGATCAGTGTGGGATTGGAGGTATTTTTAGAGATTTAGGCTTCGTTTGGGACGGCTTATTTACTGCTTTCTAAAACGGAGTTTTAGTACAAATTTTTTTTTATTTTTGTACTAAAACTCCGTTTTAGAAAGCAATAAAAAAGCCGTCCTAAACGAAGCCTTAGAGGGAAATTTTATTTTGGAGTTTACTGACTTCCACCAATCCAGTGATATCATTGATGCTAATCTCTTTATTATATTCAAGGGTTTAGAGAATTGGTTATCATTAAATATTCACTCTATTTAAATTGAGGTGGATATTGAAGTTGTGATTGATATAGTTCAACAAACAATGGAGGTTAATGCTTCTAAATTCTATGTCCTGCATAATATTACTGCTTTAATGCATACTATTCAATTTAGAATATCTTTGATTCATGAAATCTGTAATGGTTATTAATATAACATCAAAAAATTATCTTGATCGAGCATGAATCTCGAATCCCTAAACCCTAAACCCTAATTTAAAAATAAAAAAATTAAATGTTGAAACCGGATAGTTTAATCAAAAATAAATATAAACATGTATTTATTTTTATAAATAAGTATAAATAATTATTTTAAAATAATCTAACGATTTAAATATTAAATAAATAAATATAAATATTTAGTATTAGGGAAAAATTTTGAATTAAATTAAATCTGGGACCATCTGAACTCCGATTTCAGCAAACTTATTGTCGAGTTGAACGTCTCGGAAATACAAACCTAACGATAGCAAATTCGACTCAATTTGAGCCCAAATGGGTCCAAATCGTAGACTCAAAGCATATTTGGAAGGGTCAAGCCATAATTTGGATTACCAAACTTGACATGCTTATAGTCGAATCTAGAGACTTAACAAGATGAAAGCAACGAGACCAAAATCGTCACATTCTGACATTACAAAGGCATTCAAATGTCCAAAAAATGGTCCATGATCAAGGGAATCAACATCGGTCCTTCATTCAATTCACTCCCAATTTACCCTTGATTTTCCTCTAATTTACTGATCATGCCAATCTCAAAAAACTATAAATAGATCCCTCATTTCTCATGGAGGGAGGAGGGGGGAAGAGGAGGAACCCAGGGGAGGAAAGGAAGGAAGAGAAGCAAAAGAAGGAAGAAAAGGAACTTGAATTCTCTTTCCACCAGACTCCTCCTCAACTACCGCCAGAATTCCACCCAGCAACTGACAGACGTAGGATTTCTAACCATCGCTTCACTTTCATCGTACTTCTACCTGACATTGAACTTTCGTCCATCTCTGGGCATCCGCCCGTCACTGGACTTTCATCGGACTTCTACCCGGCAACGGACTTCGGTCCATAGTTGGACTTCCACCCATGATTGGAGTTATACCCGACGTCGGACCTTTGCTCGTCGCAGAACTTTAGTCGGACTTCTACCTGATGCCAGACTTCCGGTCGTCACCGGATTTCTATCTAACACCGGACTTTCACCTGTCGTTGGATTCCTGCCTGTCGTTGGACTTTTGTCGGACTTCTACCCGACTCCAAGCTTCTGCCCGTCGCCAGATTTCTACCTGACGCCGGATTTTCACTCGTTGTCAGACTTCTACCTATCGTCAAACTTTCATCAGACTTGTACCCTACCCCAAACTTCTTCCCATCACTACACTTCTGCTGGTCACCGCACTTCTATCCATGGCCGGACTTCTACCATCACCGCACTTTAGCCCATGGTCGGACTTGTGCCTGTCGTTGGACTTCTATATGATGCCAAACTTTTGTCCATCATTAAACTTATGTCTATCTTCAGACTTCAACCAATCACCGGATTTCCAACCTTGGACACCAGCCAACTATGATCCATCTGACCTCCTTCACCTAACAATAATCTTTTTGACCACTATCACCCACCGATAATGGTGCTTCCAACCTTCATTGTTAGATAACGATCTTTCTGGCCACTATCGCCCGCCGACTATGGTCCTTTCAACGTCCATCACCAAACAAAGATCTTTCTAACCACTATCACCTGCTGACTACGGTCCTTCTAATATCCGTCGCCAAACAGCAATTTTTTTGACCACTGTCGCTCGTCAACTATGATCACTTGGACATCCTTATCTAGATTACAATCCTTTCGACCTTGGTCTATAGAAAATGGTCTTTTTTTACCACTGATGTTTGTCGACTATGGTCCCTTCGACCACTATCATCCAACTACGAACTTTCTTATCTCTGTTGCCTACCAACTATGGTTCTACAACCTAACAAGCATATCAATGGTGATTCTTTCAAGTCTGATCATGTAATGCATTTTATAAGATGTATATTTATTACATAAGCCAAGTCCTTTCCCCAAGGAAATTCCTCATTTGTAATCAAATGCAAATGATTTTGGATTTATTCAAACTGGCCCACGCCCCGTGATTTTTTCCTATTTCAGAATTTTTCATGTAAAAATATTGGTGTCTCTTATGATTATTATACCATTTCTTTCATCTGTTTATATGTCATCTAGCAGTACTCTCACATACAACCTCATATAAGTCATATATCCTTAATGGATTTTCTTGACCTCTTTCACATAGGCTAACATCATCGAGTAGTGCTCTGACATATAACCTAGAATATGTCATACATCCTAGGTGGATTCTCTCGACCTCTTTTATATAGGTTAATATCATCGAGCAGTGCTCTGACATACAATCTCTAATAGGACATACATTCTTAGTGGATTTTCTCAACCTCTTCGCATAGGTTAACATCATCGGGCAGTGCTCTAACATACAATCGGATAAGTCATATATATCCTTGATGGATTCTCACGACATCTAACATATATGTTAATATCATCGAGTAGAGCTCTGATATATAACCTCAAATAGGTCAGACATCCTTGACGGATTTTCTTGACCTCTTCCACATAGATTAATATCATCAAGCAGTGATCTAACATAAAACCTCAAATAAGGTCATATATTGTTGGTGGATTCTCTCGAGCTCTTCCATATAGGTTAACGTCATCGAGCAATGCTCTGACATATAACCTCATATAGTTCATATATCCTTATTGGATTCTCTCGACCTCTTATATATATGTTAACGTCATCGACTAGTACTCTGACATACAACCTTAGATAGGTTATACATCCTTGGTGGATTCTCTCGACCTCTTCCATATAGGTTAATGTCATCGAGTAATACTCTGACATACAACCTCTAATAGGTCATATATCTTTGGTGGATTCTCTGGACCTCTTCCATAGAGGTCAAGATCATCAAGTAATACTCTGAGTGAACAATATTCTCTCTAGAAAGATTCCATGAAACCAAATGGTTGATAAAGTCATCACTCATATAAAG